TAGGATGATGCTCTTGCATAAGCACACCCTCTATGTCGGTACCTAGTGTCACACTCAATCTCAAAAGTGTTTACGAAATTCGGCAAAACAGGCAATGAGGCATGACCGCATGAGTTAAGCGGTTCTTAAGTTCAAGAAAAGCTTTATCTTGTGAAGGACCCCATGTAAAAGGCACACCCTTCTTGGAAAGAGCATGTAATGCTGAAGCAATGATGCTGAAGTCCTTAACAAAGTGACAATAAAATCCAGTCAAACCAAGGAAACTACGCACTTGAGTCAAATTGGTTGGCTGTGGCCAAGTTTTAAGGCCTGTTCGGACTCACTCCCACTCCACAGCTCCGCTCCGGAGCGGAGTGGCATGCAACTATAATCTACGGAGTGGCCAGAAGGGCGCTCCGTCCGCTCCGCTCCGTGGCGGGGGAGTGGAGGCTTTCCGAACAGGGTCTTAGTTGCATCAGTTTCGGACTCATCTACTTCAATACCATGGGGAGACACAACAAAGCCCAAGAAAATGAGTTTTCAGTGCAGAATGTGCAATTTTCAAGATTAGCATAAAGTTCCCATTTCTTAGCACTTGAAGAACTTGGTTGGCATGCTTGGGGTGATCATCAATATAATATCAAGATGTCATTAAAGTACACAACCACAAATTTGCCAATGATTTGCCTAAGAACATGATTCATCAAGCGCATGAAAGTATTGGGTGCATTAGACAATCCAAATGGCATAACAACTTAACAAATTATTCATAAAGCCCAAATTTGGTTTTGAAAGCAGTTTTCCATTCATCTCCCACTTGCATATGTATTTGGCGATAACCACTTTTCAAATCAAAGTTGGAGAAGATAGTGGCACCATTAAGTTCATCTAGTATATCATCTAAGCAAGGTATGGGGTGTCTATAGCGAACGATGGTGTTATTAGTAGCACGGCAATCAACACACATTTCGCCAAGTTCCACCTTTCTTTGGCAGCATGATAACGGGAACGCCACAAGGGCTCAAGCTACCGTGAACTTTCTCATTGTCAAGTAGCTCTTGTACACGCCGTTGTATTTCCTTGGTCTCTTTGGGGTTGACTTGGTATTAAGTCAATCCGGTGCTTGATGCCGCATAGTGGAGGAAGTCCCGGTGGTGTGCCTGGAGGGAAACTCAAATTCCGCCAAAACATGCGACATGGAGCTGGGAAGAGCTTGTGAGGTATTAGTCAAAATGACTTCATCTTTGTAGAAGAGCACAAAGTGAAGCTTGGACGGGTTCTCACGCACTTCCCTCAAATCAGATTTGGTGGCTACGAAGACAATGTCCTTCTTGACACTCATCATGGACACACTCATTTTTGGCTTGTGGCGCTCACTCTCTGTTTGATCTCTTACTAGACTCACCATGATCACCCAAAGGTCTTGGCGATGCTTGTGTCTTTTCGGCGATGAATTGGTTTGGGGCGGACCACATATTCCTTTTTCTTCCACTTGTAGCTATGGTGATTGGTGCGTCCATTGTGGATGACGCCACAGTCAAATTGCCACGGGAGTCCCAAGAGAAGGTGCCAAACGGTCATGGACGTCGATCTTGAATGGTACTTCAACAATGTGCTCGACGGTGCTAGTGCCGATGTCACTAAGCCATTGGAACTTGTAGGGTCGAGGATGGCACTTGTACTTGAGGTGCAACTCGGAGCAAAGTTTTTCACTAGCCAAGTTGTAACAACTAACAACTACCACCATCAATGATCATTTTGATCGATCTTCCATTGATTCCGACTCTTTTGTCAAAAAGGTAGCATCGTTGGTCGGCATTATCTTGTTGTTGAACAATCAAGATCATGAAGAGACAACAAGAGCGGGGCTCGCATCATTGTCACAAAGGACTTGATCATCTTCTTGATTTACGTGCTAATGACGAGCAACGTGTTGCGAAGATTCCATTTCTCCTTCACTCATAGATTTATACTCTCCATCTTCATTGATCACCATAGTGTGTTTGGAGGGGCACGTGAATGACTTGTGGCCGTGGCCCTTGCATGTGAAGTACTCAATCTTGCTTGTGTTGTCGGTTGAGTCCCTTGAGTCATTTGCACTTGGTGAAGCTTTAGGCTTGGAGGATCTTGGAGGTAGATGGCTTAATGTAGTCGCCAGTGCCTTGGAGCTTGAAGGACCACCACTAGAGGGTGTAGCCCATGGGTATGGCACCACACTTTAGGTAGCTTGATGATTGGCAGTAAAGTTCATTGAAGGGCAGGAGGAGTGCTTGGAGTACTTGATGTCATCGTGGACTTATCGCTCTGCCTTCATTGCTTGGTGAACCAATTCGAGCAAGTTGCTGTAGGGTTGAAAATCCGCAGTTCTCTTGATGGGATGGTGTCCATTGAGGAAACGCGCCATCGTTTGCTCATTGGGTTCCTTGACATTAGCTTGGATCATTGCAATCTCCTTGTAGTACTCTTCGACGGTCTTGGTCCCTTGCTTGAGAACTTGGAGCTTCTTGAAGAGGATGCGAGTATAGTGTGTGGGCACGAATCTCGCTCTCATGACTTGCTTCATTGCATTCCAAGTGTCAATGGGGGTTTCTCTTTGTTCTTGGCGAAGGTCTTGAACTTGTTCCCACCATAGGAGTGCATACTCGTCGAACTTGAGGGAGGCTATGGCAATCTTCTTTGTCTCGTTGAAGTTGTGGACTTGGAAGATCTTGCCCACCTTAAGGGCCCAAGAGATGTCGTCTTCGGGGTCGATGCCTCCGAAGAACTTAGGCATTGTGAACTTTAGTTTGCCAAAGTGATCTTTGCCTTCTTGAAGGTTGCAAGGCTGATGTTGTTTGCATTCTTCTCCTTCTTGAAGGTTGCGAGGATATAAGAAGTCCTGGTTGCCTGCATGATACACTTTGTCTGTGCGATTGCGATCAGCTTGCAACTTCATGCGATTTTGCGTTCAGTCAAGTGTTGACGTAGGAGGGTGTGTGCGCTGCTCTTTGTTGTAGTGTTCCTTCCAAAGATGCAACACTAGATGCCGAGGAGGGGGGGGGGGTGCATAGCTCCAAATTTACAATTGCCGCCATAAAGGGCACAAAAGGGAATCAACTGAGAGCGGTGGGAAAAGATGCATTGTACCAAAACTCAATAGGGGGGAGCCAAGTGCGCAATTTTTTTAGCTAAGTCACGCACTACGCAGCGGAAAGACATATCGAGCCATTGGTTCATCCTAGGTCAGCCCATCTGTTTGCGGGTGGAGTGCCGTTGAGTAGAGAAGCTATGTGAGCGTCATAGAGATCTTTCCAGACACAGCTGGTGAACACCTTGTCATGACCGGTAACGATTGATTGGCTCATTCCATGTAGATTGACAACATTGTCTAAGAACACTACCGAAACTTTGGTAGCAGTGGGTGGATGGCAAAGCGATACAAAATGAGCGTACTTTGAATAGCAATCGACCTTGGCGAGAATGATGTTGTAGCCTTCAGACAATGGAGCCCCTCGACGAAGTCCATGCTGATGTCTTGCCACACAACTTTGGCTATGGGCAGCGGCTAAAGAAGGCCAACCGACTTTTGAGTTGTTGTGCCTGGCGTGGCGTGTTGGCATATTGCACATTGTTGAACGTGGATTTCCACTTGTCATTTCATGTTGGACTAATTAAAAACATTCTTCAGATGCTGATAGGGGCAACCATGCTTGAGTGATCTCCAACCACATTGGAACGAAAAGAGTGGATCCATTTGATTTGGAGTGCCGAATTCTCCCCAATCCATAGCTGGTTGTGTTGATAGATCTTGCGCGGTTTGAAACCATGGTCTTCAGACAATTGCAAGGTGGGTGGCTGGGTCAATAGCATAGGAATTCAGTACCTCTTGAAGCCACAAAGGGCAACATTCAGAAATGGCTTGCAGACATAAAAAGGTGGCCAGTGTGGGACAAACCATCCGCAACATGATTTTCCTTTCACTTGCGGTAAATAATTTTAAACTGGAATCCCATGAGCCTCGTCATGGCCATGTCCTAAAGATCAGAAAGGAGAGTTTGTTCCTCCAAATAGCTGAGGCCGTGGTGGTCAGTGCGAATCACGAACTCAGCTTGCTGAAGATAGGGCCGCCACTTCTTGACGGCAAGGAGGAACTCCTTGTAAATTGACGGGTGTTGGCGCTGGGCTCAACACCTTGCTAGGAAAGCAATCGGATGATGCTTTTGGATAAAGACCAATCCAGCGCCAGTGTCGTGCATTTGTTTCCACAATGAACTGCTACTGGAAGTACGAGAGGGTGAGGATGGGGAACTGGCCATCGCTGTTTTGAGCTGATTGAAGGCAGATTGAGCAAGGTATGTCCAAGTTCTTGTGGAGCGAAGTGAGGGAGGGGCTTGGTGATGAGATCGTAGTGCCTCATGAAGTTGTGGCAATATTTTTTCTTACACCCATGCTGACATCATCAACATTAGTCGCCAACTTTGAAAAGTCAATATGATTTATTACATAAACCATTAATCCGTTTAGTGATCCGTCTTAATTGTAGGGTCCGTATTACAAGATCTCATGTTGTTTTTTATATTTGAGGTTTTTTGCCGTCATTGCTAGTTGATAGGTTATAGTACCGTGGTTGCCATATTATAGGCGAACAATCAAGAACACCAAAATGTTGGTTGGATAAGTTACACGAATCGATGTTACAAATATAGGACAATATATAACTTAACTGCGCGATTAATCCTTGCTCAAGGCATTTCGATATGAATAAGCCCTATTCAATCCAATTAAACGGGATATTTATGATTAACTTTAGCCCCATGGGGTAGACAGCCAAAAAAATTGGGCACTTGGCCCCTAGGGTTGGGGGATTGGGGCGTGCTCCTTGCCTTCCCCTCGTATTTCCTTGGCCACCAGCCAGTTCCTCTACTATGGAAAGGCCGACTAGGAGCCGTGGGGGTGGCCGTCGGGGAGCAACGAGCCTTCAAATCGGCTGCGGCGACCTGTGAGATGGCAGTGACCACGAGCGAGCGGGTGATGGGCAAGAGCAATGACAAGAAGGCTAGCAAAGGGCAGCAACGTACAAGGAGCAGCGGCTGGTCAGCAGAAAGCTGGCGGCAGCGAAATGCCCATCCTGGGGAAGCCAGCTTTGAGGTGGTCCAACACGGACTTGAGGCAAAGCAGCATGGGGGAGCAGCTGGAGCGACAACTTAAGGGGGCTTTGTACATGGCGGAATGAAGCGAATTGTGAGATTGGAGTAGCAGTAAATCGGGTCAAGGCGGTGGAAAGTGACAAATCGGCCAAGAGATTGATTTCGAGAGACCGAGAACTTCGATCAAGAGAGGAGAGGAGAACAAGACCGAGAACTTTGATTGAAAAGCGGGGGATGAGTTGCGGCATCCGGTGGGAAGAAAATAAAATTAAAAGTTTAAAACCCTAAACTTGGGGTTCTAAAACCATGTTAGGAAATATTTGACTTGTATTCCCATGGGGCCGTAGGCCAGTATATATACACGTACAGGTGCAGCAAACATCCTGAAAGCCCCTTATACAATGGGGAAAATACAAAGGCTCTACGACGCTTTAATATAACTCTAACAATGATTAAGTATATGTTGTTGCATCAGACAGATAACACTTGTAAGAGTCTGTCGTATCTGGTTGGACTTTTTTAGCACTGTGCTCGAGTTGGTTTCGAGATTGTATGGGTTTCAGCTCTAGTCTACCCCAACTTGTCTGGGACTAAAGGCTTAGTTGTTATTGTTTTTGTTGTTATAGAGAGCCAGCCGATTAAATGGCCAATATGTGTACCACTAGTTGCGCCATTCTGATGATCGAATTCTTTTATATTGTTATCATTACTTTCTATTGAAGCTGTGAGTATGGAAATCTTAACATTGTTTCACTTTGTTTTCTAGCCCCAGAGATGGTGGATAAATCAGTTGATGCCATGATGGCTAGGCTTCGTGGTTTTTATGTACAAGCAAGAGAACTCTCTGAGAGTGAAGTCAGGTAACATTTGAAACTTCTAGTCAGCGAGGTATTTTCTTCATGCAAAAAAAATAAAAATTAGTCAGTTGAGGATCTCCATGTTAAATTAAGGTTCCAAAAATAAATAGTTGGAAGGCATCCATTTCTTAACTTCAAAGTGCCGCATTGCCCATTTTCATCGCTTGTTTAAGTTTGAACTTCGGGAAGTCTGTTTTATGTGGGTTAGTTTGGATGACTGTAGTACTAGATTATCTATTGAAGTACTTCCCAACTATAAAATGCAAGTGACTTGTCTGCAATATTGTGAGGACATGCTGTTCAGTTGACTTATGCAATGTTGTTGAAACCACCTATATTAAAATATGCAATTCAGTTGACTTATGCCTTCTGTGTGAGGTGAAGAGTGCTTAATCAGGGTGTTAGGTATGCGGAATTTGAATTGGTAGACTTAAATACTCTTTTGTTTTATCAAGTTCTGCACAATATAGCCAAACCCCTTTTATTTGTTAGGAAGTATTAGTATTGGTCTAGGAGTCATTATTAGGCTAATTGTCCTTCCTTATACCCCCAAGTCTTGTGTAATACCCCTCCCCCTCCCCCCCTTGGGCCTTGCAATACAATCAAGTTGCTTCCATAACATTATTTAGAAAATGGAAGCTTTTTGTAACATCTATGTAGTCTCGGGCACAATATAAGTTGTCGCTCTATTTTAATGCTCATGGAGACAGAATATATAAAGCTTCGCTCAAACTCCAGGCGTTTCTGTAACATCTATGTAGTCTTAGGCACAATATAAATTGTCGCTCTATTTTGAATACTGGTGGATATCAAGTCGAGGCAAATTATACAAAGTTTCACCCAAACTTCAGGCATTTTCAATTAGAATGCGACTAGGGGTCGATGCCCTCGCGATGGACATGAAGCGCGACGCCCAAGTGGCCCAGCTGCGCCATGGTCACGTGGACTGTGCCTCATGAAGTAACGGATGACAATGCAATCCATGGCGTCCATCGTGTCGCACACAATGACTATAATTCGAATGTTTGGCAAATATATTCTTGTTTTAATTAATACCATCCTAGTTAGGAACAGAATGTTTTACCATGGAGCCAACTCAGGACATCATAACGTTTCATTTCACTTGAATGTTTTACCTTGGAGCAAAATGTGAGCATAATCCGAGTACCCCTGAACCAAGCTCTTTGAGTCGATTTTTGAATCGGCTCCCTTCACCTAGCTTCCCCTCCACACCACTGTCTTTGTCCCCTCGTCCTCTTGCTGCGCTATGCGCTTCTCGCGTCTCAGTCTCACTTGCCCCTTCTCTGACAATTTTTTTCTCTCCTCCATGCGTGTCTATCTCGTGCTTCCCCTCCCTGTACTGGATCGTTCTCTCGGGCGCTCAAATTTTGCTGCAAGTAGACGATCTTGCGGGAGATGCTACCTCGGGGGCGGGTTGGAAAAGGATGATCTAGGCTGGCAGAGCGAGTTGGCCATGCGTGGACTTGTGGCTACGGAATGATGAGTGTCAATAAGATCTGTGCCACATATGAGTTGGGGGCTATGAAAATGAAGAATGACGGTTTGGGGTGTCAAGACCGCTCCCGGGAGCAGTTAAGAATTTGAGCAGCAGCAACATCTGCAAGAAACATGCTCTTTTTTTTCCCGCAAAAAAAAGTTGCACAGTCCAAAGGGGACAAACATATATTATATGAAGGTGCAGGTAGGAGATTGATCAAGAGGAGAACGATCTGAAGAAATCGATCAAGAGGGAGGAGACCGAACGAAAAAAAAGTATCTAAACCTGGGCTCATGATACCATGTTATGCGTTTATTGTGGCTAGTCCGGTTAACACAGTGGCGATTCGGAGCAGGGATGGGGTGGATGGAAAGGGTGTGCATGTCCTTCTCCATCATTATGGGGGTCCTAAACTAAACTTTCCAGTGCAATCAATGACTACTTTGCTTGAATTGTGTAGGGGTATGACATGGATCACAAGTTGGATCTTCATTTTCTCCACATTTCCATGCCTGCTCGTTGCTACGTGTATACCTTATTATTTGAAAACTGCATCATTCAGCAGTGATCAATTAATTCATAATCCTTCATACTGCAGTGCTTCATCTGCTTTGGTTGGACTATTAGATGGTTTGTTGCAATCTGGAGTTTCAGCTGCACCAAGAAAAAAGATAGGTAAGCACTAGAATTAAGACTTTGCAAGTTAAGTTCAGAGGTTTTAAATGTGAAACACAAAATACCATAGACACTTTCTACATCGCAGAAATCAGTGAACAGAAAAAGAAGAGGATGAAGTCTGATACAGATACAACACGATTTTCCTCTGCATCTATGAGGAGCCAACTTGACCAAGCTGCAAACCTTAAAGGAGAGCAGGTTTCATTTCCAGCTGAATTTCGAAATATCAGTTAGTCTTTGTATTTCATGTACTTGTGGGTACATGGTACTTCGATGGCAAAGCTTTTTTCTTTCCATGTTAGAGAGGATATGAACCTTACTATATTCTTATATAGTTTCATGGGATTGCTTGCACTTGTTGAAGGTGCCAATTTTTCAGCAGTGTCAACATCCAAAATGTCCAGCATGACAGTCCGGTTGTTGAATTTGGATTTGTTCTTACAATCTTTTGCATAATTTATGCCTTTTTTAATATTCACGAGTGCTTTTAGGGGATTTGTCATTGTCGATTTCCAAAGATTTATAATTTCTATTACGTAAAAATATTTATTTAAAATTCGTAAAGGCCTCCTTTCCCCGAATGAAGTCATGCACGTTTTTTGTTTTTGGAGTTTCGAGTCGACAACTAATTTAACTGCATTGACAACTAATCATATTTGCGCACACGTTACATTTAATTCTATCTTGGTGGTTGTTTGGATAACTAGCATTTGGAACAAGTTTTAGCAAAATCAGTTTTAAGAGGATTTTTAGGGAAAAAACAGTTTAAGTTGTTGGTTTGTAGAGTGCTTTGTTTGGGCTTAAAAACTTCAAATATGGTACTAGTTTGGGTGAGACTAGTATTGAATGGATTTTCATCTCACAACCGAATGTCCACGAGCTCCTACTCGGCCTCCTGTTCCCCGAGGTCGTGCTCGGCCTCCTGTTCCCGAGCTCGTACTTGGCCTCCTGTTCCTGAGCTCATACTCGGCCTCCTGTTCCACGAGCTCGTACTTAGCCTTCTGTTCTTTGAAGCTCATATTCGGCCTCCTATTCTATACATCATCTTCTTTTTAGAAGCTTTGATGCACGTACTTGATCTCCTGTTCCACGAGCTGCAGCGTTGATGGTGTGGTCACCAAAGGGCATAGGTCTGGTCGATGAGCCTACATCACCTCGCCGTCACAGGAGCCGGCCTTGATTATCGGCGCCACGGCAGATGTCGTGGAAGGGTTGTGTGCTGGTGAGAAGCTTGAGAAGCAGCACGCTGAGGCTGTACGCGTCGATGTCCCTCTTCTTGGTGAGCACGCCGAAGCCCAGCACAACATGTGGCAGGCGGACGACCGCTGAGAACCCAGCATGCGTGGAGCCGAAGTCTTAGAGCCTTGGCGCCCATGGCCGCGTCGAGCAACACGTTGGAAGCCTTGACGTCGTCGTTCACCACCTGGGCAGAGACGCTCGGTGCTCGGGTGCACCTTGATGACCGCAGTTCTGAAGCCACCCTAGCCGACCATGGCCGATGTGAATCCCGCCTCATGGCCTCCATCTGCGCCCGCGACTGCTGCATGGCGTCCTTGCCGCCAAAGCCAGGCTGCTGGACAATGGCGTCGTCGTCACCTCAGCCAGGAAGCCAGTTTTTGCCAAAAAAAAAAATGACTATTTGTCAATTCTCCAAAAACGCAGAATTATGCGTACATGCAAAACTGATTTTAGTAATCCATGGATTGGTTACGTTGTGCAAATAGAGTTTACGTCAAAATCGGCTTAAATGGGTTGCCTACAAACACGGCATCCAAAGCATATGTGCCTTTGTATTTTCTTGTTTACCTACACGGACATAATAGGTACGATACAAAGAAACACAATCAGTTCTAATTCTGGTCTTCTGGATAATGGACTTCCTTTATTTATTTCTCAGTTTCTGTTGATTTAATCATTGCTGTTATAATTGTAGACCTCTAGATAGACATGAAGGACAAACGTGCAAGTTATAGCATTAATCTATAATACCATGATACCTTGTTAACTTTGATTGTTTTGTTTAAAACTATGTATGCTTACTTATGTGCTTGTCTAACAGATTTTCACCCACATATGATCGTATTATCAAATAATTAAGGTGCATATGTTTTCAGTGTCTTTAGTCTAAATAAAGTGCACCAAATTTAATTTTGCTTCTAGTAATATCATGGCTCGCTTGTTCAGTAATAAGTGATGGATTCAGCAGACACTATGCATGTGTATGAGTTAAAAAGTGCTGACCACTCATCCTTGCTAGGATTTTGTGTTGCACCTCTTGTTCTGGGTCATCGATAGACTTAAATGTAAATATATTTCTTACTGTCCAGGAAGACAATAAAAACACATTTGATTGACGAAAATTTGGATTGATAAAGAAGACTATTTCAACTGGAAAATAGCCATAGGTCTGCGATTCCCAGATAGTTTTTGTTATTCGAAATAATGGCTTATGTGGCCCAGGCTTGTACTGAGATTACTTTCCTACTTATACTTGATTGTATTTTGCTGGACTGGAGTTATTGAACTGCACAATTCTTGAACTTGGATCATATTCTAGCAATTGTATTCCTTAAGCCCTCTGTATTATAAAAACATAACCTGTTTGTAGAAAAGCAATACGGTGAAACGGCTGTGGTGGGTTTCTGTTCGACGCGAATTGCTTGGTACAATGGCTTCATGCAATACTGTCCATTATGCAACCAGGTTTCTAGCAGTGCAGAATATGGACTTTAGCAAATGAAATACTAGTGTATTAGATCCAGTTATTCAAACAAACAATGGTTTCAATTTTTCTGTAAAAATGGACATACATTACTCAGCAACGGTAGCTTCATGGTGTGGTAAATCAAAGTTTATTAGCATGCTTAAGAAAGAACATGAAGTGACAAACGGAGCATTACTGTTCGCTCTTGTTGGTACGTTTAGGTTGTAAATTTGTGACATTGTTGTGTCGTAAAATACTAAGTTATTTAATTCACCATAGTATAGCACATACTTCTACATACACATTCATATAGCAGGTTGATCATTAGAGATTGCAAAGAAATACTTCAAACGGGAGTTATTGAATAAAATTGTTAGAAGCTGCACTCTCATACCAAGGTCCATGGAAGATTTGGTATATGTTGGTGATATTACATCAGTTAGTCATCAAACCGTTGTACTGACAACATCTATATGAATTATTTAACCATACTCTGTTTTTTCTCGCACATGTTAATACAACTCCCTAGAAAAATCTTTTAATGAGTACTTCTACTCAAGGTTTTTTAAGAGCTAGGCGCTGAGTGAGTGTTTTGCCTCCGCCTTGCCCTTTTCTGACCAAAGCGGAGCGGAGCTTAAGCACAATTAGGTGGATGTTAAGCGCTAGGCATTAATCTTAAGCGCGCGCCTAGTTTTTCAGTGCTTGTAATTGTAGTGGACGATTATGCTTGAGTTTGAGAACTTAGCTCTTCATTTATTGTTCACGTTAGTCCTTCACATATTTGTGTAGTTATTTAATGTTGGACATTTGTGCTCTGTCATTTCAGGTTGCAGCTAGGGTAAAATCGGATGATGAAAAAGACGAGTGGTTTGTGGTGAAGGTCATACATTTCGATAAGGAAACAAAAGAGTATGTATATGTTTTATTTCCTTCTGTCTATTCTGCAAATTATTTTTTGTGATATAATAGCTGCTATGCAGAAAATAGCTTATGTTGAATTGAGTGAGTGTTAGGCAATACTAGTTAATTGTTGTTGGGGCTGTCTTATTAGTTACTGTTACTTGAAGAGGAGTCCTGATGCCGTGAACCTTTTTATTTTTTTAAATACCGAGGTAGACAAAACACCAATAAATAACAAGTCGAAGGTTTTAAATTACTGGGGCACGATTCCACAATTGAATACAAACAGGGGAACAAACAGAGTAGTTGATGCATTGTCCAGAATACAATGTAAAATACACACTTCGATAGCCTGCTCTGCTAAACCTGCTTGGTTTCTGAAGTTGTGACCAGTTACAAAAATGATCTCAAGTGAAAGGACCTACTAGTGCAATTAACTACTACTACTCGTACTGTTCTTAATTACACTTTACAGCAAGGTGTACTCAGGTACAAAAACAGAATTGTTATCGGAACAGACACACCTCTCAGAACTAAACCAGTGTCTGCCGCCTGTGGGTGCCACCTGACCTTCCGGGAGGGCGTCGGGGGCTACCCTTCCTCTCGCCTCGTTGTGTACCGGGGGAAACCCTTGGCAGCAGCGTCGTCATCGTCGCGATCCTTCTTGGAGGTGTTGATAGGTGCCGGCGCTTCGGAGTCTTGGTAGAAGATCCCGGTGGGGGCAACGATCGCGAGGCTTCTTCGTTCTTGTTGATCCGCCGTTGTCGGCATTTGTTTCTTTTGCTCTTTCTCTATCTTTTCTTTTGGGCGTGACTGTGCTGCTTCCGCCCCAGCACCTATCCCTGTATGGTTCGGTTGGTTGCTTTGTATACAAAGCGGGGGGAAACCCTTTTTCAGCAAACCAGTGTCTGCTTTGCATAATTCTGAGCTTGTGGCCATTCTGTATCCCAGGCCTAATAATACAGTTCAAAAAAGCGCTAGGCGTTAATTGTGCGTTTTGCCACCGCCTTGCACTTTTCTGACCAAAGCGCATGCTTATGCGCAATTATGCGCGGATTAAGCGCAGTTATGCGCCTTTGCTATCGCCTAGAGCCTAGGCGCACTTAAGCGCTCGCTTAGGCACGCCTTTTTTAACTATGCCTAATATATAAAGGCACCACAGGGTGGCCAATAGACTAGACGGTAGGCTAGGCAAGAGATCATGAGGGGATGGTCCGGACACCCGTGGCAGGGGTGGTCGAACCGGCCGTGGTGGGTGGTTGGAGATGCTGTCTGATGGCCCTGTTGGGCTTGTTGCGGACTGTACTATGATGATTTAGCGCATGGGGAGGAGCGTCCATAGTCATGCTCTGAGGATGTAACCATGCCAGTGAACCTCGTTAATAAACCTTTGTGTGATTGCTTGTCCTTGTATGATCGACGTGCGCCTTGGATTATTTGATTGGGGCCATTAAAGCTATTGACAATATACGACGAGGTTTTCTATGGAGAGGAAGGATGCTAAGAGTGGGCATTGTCTGGTCGCTTGGACTAGGTCCTGTCGCCCTCTTGAGCTTGGAGGTTTTGGTATCTCTACTCTTTAGTACCTGGGTTGGGCCCTCAGTATGATAAGTCTTGTTACAAAAAAACGGACCTCTGCAAGCTGTGGTCGGCCTTCCTCATTCATGTTGCTCAATCTGTGCGAGCTTTTTTTTTCTATGCGGTAGTTTCCGAGGTCGAAAGTGGAGAACAACACTTCTCGATGGATAGATGGATACACAGGCAAAGAATGCTGACTTGCTCCACATTTGTTTCCTCATGCAACTTCTTTATTTGATCCATGCCTGGAAGTTCAGCCTCAAAAGAAGTCACGAGACATGCATGGACGACTCAAAGCATCGGCTACTCGATTGGTTGCTCCCGATTTATGCACAATGAGATAGTTAAACCTCTCAAGATATGTTGCCCATCTTGCTAGCATGCAACCAAATGCTTTTGATTTCTAAAATGCTTAACGGATTGATGGTTAGTGTAAACGATGAACTGTTTCCACAATAAATAGACTTTCTAAGTTCTTAAAGCTCTAAAAATAGCATAAAATTCTTGCTGATAAGTACTACATTTTTTCTGAAAACACACTTCATTTTATTGAAAATGTAGAGGAGTGCAACAAGCAAGCCTACTGGGTGACAAAAATACAAACAAGAGTCTGAGGGGCTGTTTGGTTCTAATTCTAACAATGCCACACTTAGCCACACATTTTTTCCAAACTTGCCTAAGGTTGGTTGAATAAAGTTGGAGCCACAAGTTGGCAAGCTTAAGGGAATCTTGCGACACTATGAGTATGGGATGTGGGGCCCTAGTGTGGCAAGAAACACCATGCCTAACAGCCTAAGGTGTGGCATGAACCAAACACCCACCTAAGTTGGTTAAATTTGTCTAACCTTAGGTGTGACAACTTGAGGCAACCTTAGTCTGAAACCAAACAATCCCTAAAACAACACTAGAACACACTCATGGGATATCCCAGTTTCCAGATGTGGAAATAATTGACCCTTGTAGAGTACAATGTGGGATGAGACTTGGAGTACAAGACAAGTCGTAGCATGTTTAAATTATTCTACTCTTATCTCCTTATCTCTACACAATTATACTTCTAACACCTGACAGCAATGCCCTAAGGCCATTGGCCCCAGCTTTCGCCTAAAGCCTCACTTTCTCTTTGATCCTGGCCACCACAGAGGAGGTGCTTGGCCTGGCATGCTCAAAAATGCACTCGTTGCGTTGCTTCCATATCAACCAGCAAGTGAGCAGCGTTATGGAGGCGAAACCCTTGCGCAACGACTTTGGCGTGCGGTGGTGAGAGAAATGCCACCAATCCATGATGGGTCCCCCTGAGCCCAAAGTCAAGACGGCGTCTCAAACCAAACTTGCTGTGAAAAGGACAATAACAAGTAGGCGTTTGCATTGTTTCCTAATGTTGATCGCGAAGGAGGCAGGTGGGCGCTCATGTGGTAAGCTCCGGCTCGCTAGTCTTTTAGCAGTCCAGCAACAGTCCATGGTGGCGAGCCAGAAAAATAACTTACAACATGTTTGAGCGTGTTTGGTTCGTGGGAGTTAGAGATGGGGAATGGGAGTTGAGGTGTAAAGAGACTAAAAATCCACTGATTGTTTAGAGAGAATGGAAGTTTAAGTGGGAAAGGAAATGGGAGTTGAGGGTGCCAATTCCCACCGATTTCTACCCATGGGGGGACCAAACAAGCGATGAGAGTAAAATTCGTGGGCAGGACTTCATCCTGGACTAATTCCCATCATATACCAAACAAGCGATGGGAGTAAAATTCTATTTCCCACGCCTAATCCCTCGACAAACTCCTTCGTGCAAACTCCCATTCGGCTACGCAAAGGTTACCAAATAACCTCGTGCGGCGCCCACGATCTCCAGTTTAGCTTCCAAGATCTCCAGTTTAGCTTCCAAGAACCAGAACGTGAGGCGCCAAGGAAGGAACCAGGGTAGCAGGAGGGGGCGGAGTAAGAGCCGCTCAAGCTCCACCTCAAATTAAGTGAGACTCATCGGCGAGTTGAATTTCGCTAACAGCAAGCCAGAGCTTGAGAAATTGCAGGAGCGCAACTCCTGAGAGGTTGCCACGGATGTCCTGCACCCAGGCGTGTCCGGTGAGGCCCTCTGCCAACGTCCTCTTCTTCCGGGTGTGCTTGCCCATCAGCTCGTACACCTCGGGGGGCAATTTCGAGCAAACGGTCTTCCTCGAAGGCATAGTGGTGCCGTTCCCCACCTGCATCAGGGTGGAGGCAAAAGAAGAGACTTCTGTCTGCATTGCTGAATTGGAGATCGAGGTTGAACCAAGGCCCGCTGGGATTAGTGCTTCTCAGCAGGAGCCATCTCAACCTGAACCACAACCTTGTGCACTCTAGGTCTGAAATATCCAGCCCTCCAAGGCTCCGACTTGTACAATCATGGCTCCAGTTGCCGCCATTGGTAGTCCCAAACCTCCCACAAGAACCTTGTTGAATTTTGTCCACGGCTCTAATGAAATTCTTATGAGGCGCCGTGGATGGAGGTGTTAAAGTTGTGTCGAATATTAGTGTACAAGGTAGGTTACAATTGGACTCTGAGCTGTATGGTGTGTAGATAGGATTACGGAGTGTCCTAATAGGACACTTGTATCCTAGGCCTCTTTTTTTTGAGTTAAAACAAGACTTCGTTCATTTGAAATAATCAGTACATCGTTTGTGAGGGGGTAGACACACGATGTAACCTAAGCCAACATAATAGCAGAGGTACGCAGGGGGAGCCGCTCGGCGTGTGCCGGCGCCCGGGTGGCCGGTGTGCGGTATTGTGACGGTGTCATGGGGAGGAGCGCCCGTAGTCAGTCCTCGGGGATGTAGCCATGACGGTGAACCTCGTTAACAAATGTTGGTGCCGTGCTCGTGTGATTGCTTGGTCCTTGGTAGATCAACTATTTGCCTCGGATTTATTCTAACAAGTGGTATCATGAGCTAAGTAAAATGTACGGGCCGCCACCGCCGCTCCCACCACCCGCGCCCTCCGGACCGCCGGCTCTCCCGTGGTACTTGGTGCCCGCGGCCCTCACCAGAGGCTACCCGGTGCTACAGCTGCCGGCCGCTCCAGCGCCGGCTTGGCCGTAGTGGCCCGCGCCAGCGCCCGCGGCGCCACCCGCGTCTGCCGCGCCCGCCCCAGCCCCGTGGCCGGCCTGGTCCGCGCCGGTCCCGTCTGTGCCGGCTGCATCGGTCCACACGCCATCGCCGCCACCCAGCGTCGGCTTGAGTCAGGCCACTCTCGGAGGGCTCCCGATTCAGCAGGTGCGGTTTCCACCGTCGCCTTCTCCGATTTCGGCCTGGCTCACCGGGACGTCGCCACCGCCAGTTTACACGGAGGCCGGGGACCCGTGGTGCCCCCGCTGCAGTTCGGGGCACCGTCATCCGCTCTCCGCATCGCCGAGCCGGTGAGCACTGGCGCGCCGACCCCGACGCCACCCTGGTTCGCCCGG